CTCATGGGAAACTGTTTCTGTTGGGTCCTGAAGGATTCCTGGGTCTCAGGAAATCCCAAAATAGTTGGTCCTGAGGGTTTTGGAAGTAAACCATTCAGTAGAACAAACTGAGACTATGGGAAGTGAGGGATGGGAACACTGCCTCTGCCAAACTCAGTGCATATGTGTTTAGGCCAGGGTATGGGCTGTCCATAAACACCCTAAGCCTTCTATCTCTTTTTCTTTCTGCCATAGGGTATGTGTGCTCACCAGGGAGAGATGCAAAGGTACAGAGAGAAGGAAAGTGAGAAATCATCTCTGGTTGGGGGGGGCAGGGAGGTGACCATAGTGTAATCCCTTCTCCTTTATTCTCCTCTCAGGATTCTGGCCCTGCATGTACACATCCCTGGTGTGATTTTCAAGTTGCGGGTCTGGGACTTGAACTGTGGTTGGCCATGTGGGAGTCTAGTGCCTTAAGCACCATGGCACCAGCTGGTCCTGGAAAAATTGTTTTAATTCAAAGATAATTATAATAAGAAATGGAAAGAGGATACATATAAGAAAGAGAAATTATTAAACATGTATTCTAGTACATACTCCATGTTATTGAAATTCACCTAAACACTGACAATCTGTAGAGAGAGAGGAAAAATGTGGAATGTACTTCCTAGTTAATCAGTAAGATTGGGGATAAGCCAAAAAGAAGATGTGAAAATTCAAGGCTAAAGAATGTTCAGATTGTTGCCTAAAACCCTCCTGTTGTGTAACGCAGACCATGAGTGCCCTTTGGAAGCAGATGCTCTTCTATGTCATGGAGGCTGGTGGGCAAACGGGTTTTGTATTCTTGCTCTGTTGTTTAGAGATCCAAGCAGAATGATAGAGAGGTATCGGCCATATTTTTCTCATAGTCTTCATTAAATCGCTTGTTCTGAGCTTCAATGAACTGATGTTTCCAGTCTCCTATGACTCCTACAAAGAGTAATAACAGCACATTCAATGTTATTTTCATAGACTTTGACTGTTTTGTATTTAGATGCTTCGGTTCCTCTCAATACTTAAACTACATACATAGATTTTTAACTCTGTTCTTCTGATGCAAAAAGTGAGAAAAGAAGTCACAGCTATTTTACTCCATCTCACAGGGGATTTTTTTGAGAGGTTTTTGGTATAGGGCATGTGTGCTCACTGGAAAGAGAGAGAAACAGAGAGACAGAAAGCAAGAAATCACCCCCCAGGGGGGATGGCCACAGCACAATCCCTTCTCCTCTACTCTTCTCTCGGGATCTTGGGCATGCACATGCACCTAATGTGAGTTTAAGCCAACATGTCCGGGACTCTAACTGCGGTAGACTACATGGGAGTCCAGCGACATAGCCATTACGCCAATTGCTGGTCCCTAACAGGTGAGGTTTGTAAATAGTGGATTGTAAAAAGTGTCCTGAAACACTTGAGGAGAGGTTGAATATTAGAACACAGATCTGTAATTATCTGCACTATACTCTTTTTTTTTTTTTTGAGAGGTTTTTGCTATAGGGCACGTGTGCTCACTAGACAGAGAGAGACAGAGAGACAGAAAGCAAGAAATCACCCCCTGGGGGGATGGCCATGCTGCAATCCCTTCTCCTCCATTCTCCTCTCAAGATCTTGGGCATGCACGCATATGTGCCCAGCGTGAGTTTTAAGCCACCGGGTCTGGGATGCAAACTGTGGTCGACTACATAGGAATCAAACAACATAGCCATTATGCTACCTGCTGGTCCCACTGCACTATACTCTTGGACTTCTGGTCTACCAGCACTCTCCCAGCCCTCTGAATCTAACACTAATCAAGTTAATGGGAACTGCTTTTCTTACCTTTCCTCATTGGTCACTAAAGAGCTGCATCCTGAGAGCATCATCTGCTCTTCCAATCTGTGTCTCTATTTGAGGCAAAATTCCTAATCACAAATAGTTGAGAATTCTGTTTTCCAATCTCAATTCTAATTGCTGTTAAGAAATAATTAAATTAAGGTAAAGACTATGAAGGAATGGTAGAGTTGGTTAACTTTGTTTTATGCAAATACGAGAAAGTATTCAAATTCTTTTCTTAGTTTTAATAGCCAAAAATGGACAGAATGCCCATAGTAAGACATTTCTCTTGTGTTCACACCTCGAAATTAGATTTGTTTAGACCTTTGAGCTGTAAAATGTTATTTTTATGTGTGAAATGTAAATTTGACTAATTGTCTGAGAATAATATCTCATTTACTAGTTGGTTTAAAAGAAAATGAGATTAATCAATGTTAAAATTAGAGAGACTATTTCTCTTTTCAGCCTTAGATGTTTTTCCATTAAAAAAAAGTACTAGAATATTTTAAAACATTTCCTAGAACAGGGGCCATCAGCTAGCATGGTGGTTAAGGTGCTGGACTCACACATGGCCAACTGTAACTCAAGTTCTGGACTCGATGACTCTAAAATCCCACTGGGTATGCATGCATTGATGCCCAGAATCCTGAAAGGATACTGTAAGAGAAGGGATTATGGTATGGCCATTCCCCTTTGGGGGTGATTTCTCACTTCCCCTCTATCTGTCTCTTTCTGGTAAGCACATGTGTCTTATGACAAAAACTAATTTTTTCTTTACTAGAACAATTGCAACTAAACAAAATTTGTTTCCATTTAAAGAGTTGTCAGTGTGATAGTGTACACGGGGCTGGAGGCTGAAAGTCCTGGTCTGCCCAGGGTCTAGTGACTCACTGTGCCACCATGGTTATTGTGATGACATTAACCAGGTGACCTCTAAGGCCCCAGCCTTCTAGCCAATAGCATTTGTCCCTGGTCTTCGGGAGGTGGAGGTTGACAAGTTTTACTTGAGAGAGGGCTTTGTGGCCAAATACATTTCTGAAGCTCTGGTTAAGCAGAGTTAAACAAGTTTCTCCACAGGAACTAACTATGCCTTAAAGGGTTCAGGGTTTGAGTGTCTGCATGTCTGTACCTCTGAAGCATGTGTTCTTGGAATGAGGCTTTCAAGAACTCACGTCAGGAAACACTGTAAGTGGTGACTTCACATAGCCTAAAGTTCAGAATGCCATGGATGAACGGAGGGATTTTCCTGGTACCAGGAAGGACAAAGGGTACACCAACCACATCACCTTTCCTCATGAATGGAGAAAGACTGTGGTTCAGGTGAACTTCTTCAGTTTTGTAGTTGGTCATCGGGTTATCCTTCATGACATCGAAGGACGTGTGATAGACAATTTTGTCTAAAACCTCTTCTTCTAGATTCTTTCCCAGGAATTCCATCACCTTTCTAATTTCACGTTTTGGATCCTGTAGGGGAGAGCACAAGAAAATCTCTGTATAATGGAAAAAACATCTGCTGTCACACCTTAAAGAACTCAGCATGGCAACAGCAGGTCAGACACGGTAAACCATGCTAGTCTAACAGTAATTTTGAAAAGTGATGCTTATTATTATATGTACTTTTATGAACACCAAATTAATAAACAAGGCAATCTAAAAAGCAAACTAAAAACAACCATGTTGGGTCCTGGACTGTGGCTGCTGCTAACAGGACATGCTGGGAAGGTTTTCATCTGACAGGCTTAGCATTTCGCTCTGGGAACAGCTGGCAGGCACAGAACTATTTGCATGAAGAGGTGGCTGCTTTTTGGACAGACAGCTCCATGGTTCCTGCGATCTAGCCATTTTGGGAGAAAGAAAGATGTCCCACTGATAACTGGGCCTCCAGCATACAAAACTCACGTGATTGAACTTCCAAGTTTGGGAAGAAACCGACCATCCACCAGATGACTAGAAATTGCTGAAGGACCACAAGAAATATGGGGAAGCAGGAAAATACCTCTCCCACAAGGGAAACAGATAGCTCCTCTTCATCCACACACAGTTCAATGGAAATCATGGAAATGTCTGATAAAGAATTCAGAACATTCATAATGGCAAAGCTAACAGAGATGGAAGAGAAGAGAGACAAGGAACTGCTGAAGAGAAAGGAGAAAGGAGTTGAAGAGTTCCAG